CAATATCGTATAGTCCCAATTTAAAACTCCCGGATGTTGAAATTATTGCAGAGGAAATTTCCATGAAACGTTGTATGAAATTATTTCGTCCTTTAAATTTCTATATTATTAGTTGTTTCATTAACTGTAGAATAGTTACTTTGGTGACATTTGTTAGTAAAATATTTTGTTCACAAACAAATATTGTAAATATGGAGAGTCAAAGTTGTAATCCATGTTGGAGTAAGAATTAGATTAATACAAATAAGTCATGATTTGAAATTATTTAAAATTCTCTAAAGTTTTAAATTCAAATCATCACAAAATGAAATTTCATCGCATGTTTTGTTGTTAGCGATTGAAGATCACATATTATTGTTTCTTGCAGTGTACATTACTAAAGCAAGCGAAAAGAGGAAAGATGGCAATGGATAAAATTATCAAACCAGAAGAGAATGAATTCATTTCACCTCTTGTCAATTTCAACACATTTGGACAGGTGTTTATTTACTTTTTCATGAGTACTAATTAAATTCGTTGGGTTGAATGTTTTCAAGAAATTCTAAATTTTTGGACAATGCTCATGATGTTCTCCATATCATATTCCTCACTTATTTTTCTACCATATTTTCTTTCCTAAGTTTCTTGAATTTTTCTCACTTTAAAATTGTTATGTTTGACATTCTTTCTTCCCAAGCCAAGATTTAAATCTGTGGTGAAATTAAGATATCTCATCGTATTGATATGCTATTAAAATGTCTCATTTGAATTGTAACTTTACTAAGATTAGGTGGCACGGAAACAACGAGATTGTCTGCGAAGTGTGGTTGCATTAGAACCATTACTGGAGTTCAGTTATCCGGCTGATATGCCTGAAGCTCCGTCACATGTTCATAAACGAGTGTTGCTTGAAAGCGAAGCTATAAATGATAACGAAGCAACAACTGCAAAACTGCAAAAGGTATTTGGCATGCAGGATGATGATGCAAGAGATATGACTTTTACTTTAGAGTAAGTTTCATTATTGCTTGAATATCTTTCTCACTTTAAAGTTTTTACGGTTCAAATTTTTTTTCTTCCCAAGCTAAAATTTAAATCTATGGTGAAATTATGGTATCATATAGTTGTGTTGGTATACTGTTAATTTGTCTCATTTGAATTGTAACTTTAATAAGTTCTTTTGAATTAAGCTTATATTCCTACTGTCTTTCGTGCGAAAAGATTTTTCTTATGCTAAAGGGATTTTTTCAGTGTCAATAATTTTGCTTTGCTCAATAAACGAGATATATTCTTTCGGAAGAAAGTTGACCTTGAAGATATACCGGCTGATACAGAGCTAGAAACGTTGAAGTATGTAATTTAATTGTTACAGTAGCAAATTACAGCATTAGTCAATAATGTCATTTGACTTATCAAAAAATTCACTGCATGGTTTTTGTTGCTATTATAATGCTGACGTGACTAGAATGTCTTCCATTCGAAGTCTACTTCAGTTGCTGTATTTTATTTTATGTTTTACTATTTACTAGAGAGTGAAGGTATTGGAAATTCCAACTTCTTTATCTCTTTTGTTGACTATTTCTACCCAACACAATTGAATTCCTTTAGTATAGAAATAAAATACTTAAAATTCTGTTTGATTTACAGATTGAAAAAAAAAGTGTTAGATATGTTTAATCCCATCAAGAAGAAACCAGCGGGTCCTTACGATGATCCACGGTAAAATTTTGCTCTCTTACTTTCTTGTTATCCGTTTCTCTATCTTAAGACAGAAATTCGGATTTTTTTTTTTTTAATAAAATAAAGTACTATTGGATAAGAAAGTGAAGGAGATTAATAGCTCCTTCACTTTGACATAGGGAATTATATCTCACAAAAATAAAACATTCAATTTTAGGCAGCGTGAACAAGATCTAAAGATGAGGAGAAATATACAACAGAGCATGTGCTACGGTAGTACAGTACTTAAATATGGTGACTATTACGAAAATGTGGGTTTGTATCACTACCATGCATTAGTAGTCGAGAGAAAGAGAGAGAGAGAAATTAAAACTATCTGCAACTAGTTCTTGTGAACTGATAATTCCTATTACTATACGTTATTACGATTTTAAATTTCAGGAAATGAGACATAGTCGAAATGATGGATATAAACAGTCGGTAGTAAATGATATCGTGGTAATGGTAGTCATTTGTAAACCATACAATAAAGCTTTGGAATATTTAGAAAAGCGAAACGCGACGGTAAAAGTTATTTACAAAATTCTGAGTAACCCAAAGATATGTATATGAATTTTTTTTTACACTGCAGTTAATGAACTTCGTTCATGTACAAGTGTTGAAGCGTTGATCATTGTTAGTGAAAAATTTAGCAGTGTCAAGTTTTATGTTATACCGAAGATATGTAGAAATGTTTCTTTTGTGCAAACAGAGTAGTAAAGCGGTGAGGGAAAGGATCTGTATGTGCAGAGCGTTTAATAAGCCTTCCACTCTAAGTAGAAATTAATTTAACCAATTTGGTAAACCAATTTTTTTATAGCTGCGTCCATACTGGCGATTTCTATTACGGGGTGAGACATCTTTGCTTGAGTTACATAGTTTATTTCGCTGTACTGCAGATTATGGAACGGCAGTAGATGAAGACAAAGTGCCGCAGCTGCATGATTTTAACATGGTATTCTTGTAAATTGTGGCTACATTTGGAAGTTGCATTTTACAAAATTTTGATTTTTTATTTAGAATTAATCAGGTTGCTCTACTTGAATGAAATAAAGTTTTTTCGGAAACTCCATTTTCTCTTTTGCAATTTATGATGTATTTTTCAGTTCAAATATCCATCATCATTCTTGTTTATCCATGACACATTTTATATAGCAGAAACCTATACTGGATCTAAGGAAACACTATTACAAATTGATAATTCGAAAATTGAACCTCACATTGATATCTCAGAGTAATCTATTCTTATCAGCAATTTTTGAACCAATTTTTTATAGTTTCGTCCATATTGGCGATCTCTGTTACTTTTTTAAAATAACTTTTTTCTGTTTATATCAGCAGACATTTTTTATAAACAGTGACGAACTAACTACTAAATACGTAATTTTTAGAAATTTAATTTCACAGTTATTGAAGGATATTTAGTTTCCTAAACTTTTGTATTATAATGTTATTATACACGCTTTCTAGACCTATACGTGAATGGATGAAAAGAAAACCAAGAGAATTTGGTCCAACACAAGTCAAAAGTCTCAACGAGGGCAAGGTTAATGTAGCATAAACTTAAGTGATCAGTTCTGAATCTTTGTCCTGTTACATTGGTACTATGGGAAATATATGACTGGTAGTAAAATGTACCATTTAATAAAAAAGTACCACCTCTATGTTTAAACTTGTGTTATTCCGTATGTTTCTGTTGAATAATACATTATACGAAAAAGTGATAGCTATTTATTGCTTACCTCACAATAACTGTAGTTCATTATACCACTTTCCATTTCAGGTCAAAGATTTGGTGTGTCGCCTTGGATATCCATATGTTTATGTTCATCAGGGTAATTGCGAGCATGTTTTCTTCTTCACCGATCTACGATTGATGGATATACAGGATTATCCGATCGATTTCCCTCAAAAATTGTCCGACACAAGTTTGGAAAACTACTGCATTACATGCCATAAACGAATCGCCGAGTAAATTATTATTTTTTCGATTCCGATTGATTTTCTTCCTACAGAATGGTGATGGCTGTGAGGATTTATCAGTGATTAGTTAATCATTTGTATAAGGTTAAACGGAGGAAGAAAAAAGCTGTGTAAGTGTATAAAAAAGTTATTATCTTTTAACGTTATATGTTAATTATTTACTGCATCTTCCGGCTACTTAACCCTTTATTTATTCCTTTTTTAGCTGGATAGTTGAAAGTGAAAGTTTCCCGATAAGTCCAGCTCATATGTGCGATGATTGCTATAGAAGCTTCCATTATATTCTGTCTTATCGTCGGAATATCGACTCTAGAGCATATGTTTATATGGATCCATCCATCCTGCAGTACTAACGAGCCATTGTTGTTTGTTCCATCTACCTGATGAGAATAATGTAGTATATTTTGGTCTGTTTGCTTTGTTATGTTTGATTTTGCATAAAATTCACAAGAGAAACAAACTCAGAAGAAATTAGAAGGGTTTTGATAGGCTGTGATCTCCATTTGTACATTTATTGTTAAAAATCTTCGTTTCACATGTCGTTTTTCAAAAGTGAAGCAGTAGTAAACCAGAAGAAAAGCAGTGGGTTATAACACTAAAAAAGAACCAATAATTTTCCAATTACTTTTTTTTTTTTTTTTTTTTTGTAGGATCAAGTAAAATCTGATCTAATAGTAAGGACTGTGAAATAAATGAATCTGATATTTAGATTACTTGGGTATCAGTTAATTAACTTGCATTCTCATCAGTATAAAAGTGGCCAAATTTAATACAGAAATATGAGAAGAGGGAAGAAAGAAAACCTCAATTCAAACTTTCTTCCAGTGATGTATATCTATTTTATTTATTTGTTTGCTATTTTTTTTCTTTTTTTCTTTTTTTTCTAAAAGCTCTTTTTAAAATTGGATAAAGATGTGCTCAAGTTAAATTGGAAAGTTGTCTGAGGCTTAGAATAGCTTCAGATCAAATATATAAAAACTGTTCACTTTTAATAATGCAAAATGCAATGTTTTGGTCAGTAATGCCACTTCCCAGACTCAGTAATGTTCAAAGTCAACAATGGTACTTCCCAGAAAAGTTGGGATGAATGATTTATATTTCGTTTCTTCATTAAGTGATAAACTTATTAGGGAGACGAGAAATTAATTTTGATATCATCTGGGAAAAGGATTTTCTCTTTAATTTATCATTTGATAATCACAGCGTAATGACACATCGCATTGCCTCATAAAAAAAAGCCATTTCATACATTTTGGTTTAATGTTATAAGTTTGCATGCTTTAAAGCGGTTGAAAATGTATAAAACATTGTCTTACATAATGTTTTATGGCAAGGAACAAGCAACGGTATGTTTGAATTTCAATAATATGAATTGAAAGCAAGGAACGATTTCAAGAATTTCAATCCTTCTCCTGATCTAAACACTCTCTTTTGATTCTTCATTAATCAAAAATTTCTCGATAAATCAAGGAAAAGATTATTTTTTAGTTTCTGAATATGCAAAGGTTGTATGACGCATGAATGTACTCTGTCAATTGAGAATAATTTACATTTCTATTGCATCATTTATAGTTTTACATAGTGATAATGTACGCTGTTATGGTAATCTTAGCAGTTGAATTAGCACGTTGTATTCTAAAATTGTTATACGAGAAAAAAAAACTTGAAATATCAAGGAAAGAAATACCAGTACTTCTTGCGGATAAAGATACCCTCGGGGAGGTATTTTGAATTTTTTAATTATCACCGTTAACATAGCAGTCATATGCCAGTCATTATTTTACTCAGAATTGTTGCTTTTGTTTGATTTAGTTTTAGTTTTGTAATCGGAAAGACTGGCATCTTCTAGAAAGTTTGTTTCAGGAAATCTATGTAGGATTTTGTGAGATAGAATAATTTTGAGACTGTGAATTGATATTTTAATATCCAGCGCAGATGACCACTTTAGGATACTGTTTATAAAAGGACTATTTCGACTCTACTACCGAGAATGTCAAAGGATGATGACAAATTCACTGAGCGACTCGACCGAAAATATAGCAATACTTCGTTCGGTGAACTGCACAGCATTTCAGCACCCAAATTTGGTAAGTCATTCTTCCGATGCATTTACTTCTTAAAAATTAAAATAACATTTCCGATTCAGCGAAATATCCCTGAAGTCTACAGCGGGTCATGGTTTAATCATCCACTCAAATAAACTGTTCTTTGACATACTAAATTTTCGAATCCCTGAATGATTTCATTGCGCATTCTCCTCAGGAAAATAAGCTAGTGATTTTAAGAAAATGTGCTTTTTCCAAACTGTGAACTTTATTAAGACTTTTCTATCGTTTATGCACACCAAATATTAATAAATTAGCTCAAGTTTCCAAAAGAAAAAAAAATTCAGAAAGTAATAATAAACAAACAGTTACAGTAGTATCAACTTTAAAGAGAACAGACAAAACACAAAGTGTACCGGACACGGATACTTCTAAGAACTCTAGACTGAAGATTACTATAAGCAGTCGTAATAAGCCAACCAGGGGCAGATCAATCAATAAATCCAAGAAAAATGCAAATATGAATCTAAAGCTCAAGCTACCAATACCATTAGAACATACCCAAACAGAAAACGATACATAAAGCATAAAGTACGAGGATGATGCAGGAGCAAAATATTGAATACTTGAAAAATTTTTAATATTTTCTGAATTTATCAAAGTGTACTTTCTCGAAAATAAGATATAACAACTAGATAGTAGTATTGGACAAAAAAGGACAAAAAAGGATGACTGGAAACAGGGGGAAGGCAGAATTATATTCTTTATAAATACAAGATACAAAGTATACTTCATTTGACTGAATCTACTATGCAAGTGAGCCTACTAGACGTCATTCCCCACATATATTAGATTGCCATCAAAGAATGTTCCATCTAACAGTTTGATTTTCATTGTCAACTGTTATGGTTTGTTTGCTTTTGTGAGTGATAAGTCTTGATTCCTAAGCTTTTAATTCCGTTGTAATTTTTTCATTGGACACCGAAAACTTCCTATGTTTTTTCTTTTTAAATTGATAAATTAATTCATGAAGAAACAACGAACTGCAATTGTCCAGATGTGAAACGTAAAATCTTAGGACTGCGAAGCAAGTATATTGAATAAGAGAAAAACTCAAATAATTACTGAGGAAAAGAAGCACAAAAATCTAAATAAATGGAAAAATAACTCATCCAGTTTTTAAAAGATTATTTTGTCTAATCTTAGATCCAACAATAGTTGAAAGTGAGATCATCATCATTTTACAAGTTAAGGTCTATACAACCATCGATTTAAACGTTTCATTGGACCATTGATTAATATACAAATGATACCAATAATGTATAAATAAATCATTCAAATTGATCAACATATTTTCTGAATTTGTGAGGCAGATAAATGACATTTTAATTCAATGCACTTAGTCATTAATGTGTCTCAAATTGAAAAAAAGGAGAGTAAGCAAAGTAACGAAAGGGTAATAGGAATAAATGGGAAAGCGAGAATGCACAAACGGAATGTTTCTGCCGACACTGCTTTCCTACGGCTCATTGTGTAATATCAATAGAGGGTTTAATTTTCCAACGAAATAAATGAGAGAATCTGGGAACATTATTTATATCTTTCTTATAATCCTTAAACAATTGGCTGTGGCAGTGCAAGCAGTGCCTTTTGTGTTAATTTTGATTCAATATTATAAATGTTCAGCGAAAAAATCTACTGGAAAAAATTATCGTGTAAAATAAAATAACTGCAAGAATCCTTCTTATAAAAAATACAGTGGTGAACAATGAACCAAAATCTATTCCATTTCCTACAGGGATAAAAATTATAAATAAAATAAGATAAACTCACCACTATAATCTCAAGAAAAAGGAGAACACATAGAATTCAGAGAAAAAAGCTAACAGAATACATCATGGAGTTCAACATTTATCTTTGCTAGCAACTTACATACAAAAATGGCACATTACCATTTCGCTAGAAGGCAATTGAAGGATACATAATACACAAAGTGTGCGCAGCACTATCTTCTTTCCGTACTACCAAAACCTGAAGAATGAAAGTTTAAGCGTCACTGAAGGAAGTTGACAAACATCCAATGTTGATATTCAAATAAGCAGTTATATCTCACACGCTGAATTCACTACACAAAGTACACAATTAGATAAATGTTGAATAAAGCGAGGAATCTACCTGATGTTGTTCGACTTGTTGAAAGTCCTGGCGAATCACCTCTATATCTACTATGTGAAGAACTCCAGAAACCATCTTGTTCATATGGTCTCCTACCTCGAAAGAAACTGTCTTCACTAAAATAAATAATAGTAATTGGCAAAAACAGATTTTTAGTGAATTGATTGCTTACAAACATCAAAACAGTAACTGCATTTCAATTTTTTTTTGACAGAATGAACAAACCTGTTCTGACTTCTGCCATACAAATAACCAGCTAAGCCGCCTAATCCGAGACCAGAAAAGAAACCGGGTCCACTGGATTGTGTACCGGATGCATTGTAAAAAGATTCTTCATACGTAGGAGGTGCATCAGTTGGACGTGTAAAGCTTTTGAAACCTGGTGGTGGTGGTCTTCCACTGTGTGGTGGAGGTGGTGGTCCTTGATTCCAACCCCAACCGAAAAAAAAAGATTAATGATTAACGAACATTAATTTAGTTGTTATATCCAAATGTTCATTTCACCAGGTGGCTACCACTTAAGAAAAATGATATAGTGTATACTTGAATTTAAAATACTGGAATTGTACTTAGTGAATCTAAAAACTGTATACTGTAGATTGTCAAATAAGAACTGACAACTAAAAATTTTGAAGTAAATAGTTTTGCCAACATATGACTTTCTTTCGCCCCACCTTTCTTTACCTTTCAACATTAAAAGTATGACTTTTTATAACCATTTACTATCTTTACTGCTTATTCATAAGTCAAATAAGGAAACAATGATCGCAGTCATGTATTTGCAAAATAAAAAAAAAGTTAGAAGGAAATTTTTAAAAATTTAAATTCAATTAAAAAAAAATCGAATACCACTACGACGTGTTGTGTCATCATCAGTAGTAGGTTGCAGACAACTATAGTAGACTACGAAGAGGAATAAAAGCAAAATAGCTACTGACGGAAGCGTTAAGGAACCAAATCTGAAATGATTAATACAGAACTTGAATCAAGAAATCCAAAATTATAAATAAGTGCATCATAATTGAAAATACTATCCATAATTATCAGAAATGTTCTGGAAAACTACTTCGAAAAAAATAATGAAAAGCCAAAAACACTTCCGCAAATGCTCACTCATGATCCTTTTCATAAGGTGGCGCATTTGGTACGTTGTTTTTACCATAATTGTTCCCTCTTTCATGACTATATTCCAAACTGTATTTCAACTAAAAAATACTAGTCAATCATATCAAACTGAAAATTAATCTATTTATTACAAATGATTAATTCATGAGAACTTTCAGTTCATTGAGAATTACTAGTTGCTTGCATCATGGCGTAATTTCATATGTCAATAAACACTTTCCACTATTAGTACCAATATTTTAACGAATCGTGATGACAACGAATTGCTACAGCCAAATTACCATAAATGTCCATAAAATCATGTTATTGAACAATAACAAAAGGCAATCGGAAACTTGTTTAAAAAAATAAATTTTAAACTTACACCACAAGAACCTCGCAAAATATACGGATCATCTGCGTAATCATACCCTTCACAAGATACGCGAATCTGAAAAAATTCGGTCAAGTTTCGAGTATATTTTCGGATCCAAAGTCATATTGTTTTCTAGCAAGCTTAACAGACGTAAGAGTTAATTTCTTTTTAATATGATAAGCTGCAGACAAAAACTTATGGTGACTTACAACTAGGACTTAGATAATCAATACAATCGATCGTGAAAAATTTACTTCGCCAAACTCATACTGATCACCCATTTCGGCTTTACACTCCCACTGAACATCGATACCATCATAACCCCTATTGTAGCACTGCACAACCTAAAAATAGAAGCAGGATATAGCAACAAACATTCCAAAAGAATATTGCTAGTCAAATCTAATCTGAAGGAATGAATTGGACTTCCAGAAATGACCATTCCCAGTACTACAAAATATACATACTCTGGGCTCAAACTTTCCCTTCGCCGATCCTCCGACACATTGAATTTGGGGGATTGGAGAGGACCTTCTTCCTGTCGTATACTTATCTCGATATAATGTTAGCGTTGTGACATCGGCCAAACGAACTTTTCCGGAACCCTCTAGAAATGAAAAAATTGTCAGAACTTACAAAAATGTAATTTCAGTTTTTATGACTTTATTTTAGTTTATTATAACTCTTTGTCTTGTCTGCCTTCAAAATATGGCAGAAAAACAGCAATTATTTCACAGCCGTCCGAATAACTTCAATAACTCACCACATAAATTAACAATACCAATCAAAAACATGACATATATTCTAGACCAGCACAACATTCTAATCTTGGAAATCTGAAAAAAACTACAGTGCTTCAAATCAAAAATGATGGTGAAATACTTCGCTGATTTAAAAATAAACCACATTTAATCCCATTCTGAGTACAAATTTTACTTTGATAAAATACTGCATGGAATGATAATCTGATAACGTAACACGTAAAGTTTTCTCCCAACTCAATATATCTAGGAAATGGATGACGGATCCTGATAAACCAAATCACGCAAGAGTGAAATACAAACCCAACTGCTAACGAAATAGCCAACAACACATCACATTGGCAACCTGCCGAGATGACTTACTGTGCAATCAAATTATCTCATGCAGAAAGGAAATTGTCTTACTGTATCTTGTTTGGTGTAGTACTAAATATCATTTGGCCTGGGACTTTAGACAATTGATGCCAGGAATGGCTAAAACAGCATCCATTAATGCATTGTAGGCTTACTTTATTCCTCTGTTACTCAGTAGATACTAAGTACTTAAGAATTAAATATGAGGATTTTAGAATTGCTGTGTTACTTAGTGAAATAAAGCGAAGGATCAGCTTGCAAGTAATTTGTACTGAAAACTTATTGAAGGATAAATTTAGTAGTGGTGATAATTTAATTTCTTTCTACCCAGCATGTAGTAATTTAATTTTTGTCAAAATAGACCGTTTAAGTACTTTGTTTAAGTAATACATTTTATCAGTAACTTTTTCAAATTAAGCAATTGAATAATAAAGCGCTTATTTAATAATGAATTTTTGAGAAGTTATATTTATTTTAGTTTGATTAGCACTGGAGCAACAATAGCATTCTTTATTTTGAGCACATCATACAAACAACAAATTTTAATGATTTATTAGTACATATGTGGTACTAATTGCGCATTACCATTATCACTGCTGCATTGTTCTCTGAAATAATAAAATATAGTCATTATGAAGTTTGACATAAGGAAAGTACGTAAGTAAGTAGGTAAGCATCGAATGAATCTGAATGTTAAAGTATTCAAATTCTTTTTTTTTTCAATGAATGGAAAGTGCTTTTAACTTTCGTTTTTTTCTCATTATTGCGATTCATTTCATTGATATACATTTGTTACATATTTGCTCCCCGGAAAAGTCCTTTCCGTAAAAATGTTATCTGATCCACATCGGAAATCAATTAAAAACAATTATTTCAAATTTCCACGAAATGTGAAGTTAGACAGTTGCAAAACAGATGACAAAAAAAAGATCTCTTCTTTAATTTTAATTCGAAAATCCGCACTTTGAATGCAAATAATGGCTCGGATAAGTAAAAGCGACTATCGGAAACACTCGAACTAAAACCTGGCCGGAAATTACCGCGGCCGGAAACGAGTGAACCTCCGGATGGTCCCAGATTCACCCATTTTGGTGATCGAAAGAAATAATCATTAGTTGCATCCACTGCCTACAAAAAAAAAAAAAAAAAAGAGAAACCATCGATTAGAATTGGACTAAATTCAGCGATTCATTAAGTATTTAATTCTTCGAGTTAAAAAGTTTGTATTTTTGTTATTGATTCATATTCATCGCCATTACTCTACGACAACATTTTTTATTTCTTAATTATAAATCATCCATTTTAAATATTTGATTAAAGATTTTTGCTTTCAAAATGAATATAATACGTGGGATTAAAGTGATTATTGTAATTAAAAAGTTTAGGTGATTATATCTGTCTTAACAATATACGTTTGTAAGTAATAATTTTATCATTCCCGATGGAGCTAATTATTGTTCCTTCTCAAAAGGCTAACTAAATTAATTAATTAGGATATGTGGGAATGTGATATTAAGCAGACTAATGATACCTCCTGAGAAAGACACATGATTAACCAGTCACTTTCAAATCTTTTGTGATTAGATGATTGATTAATAAATCGTAATCTAAACTTAACTATTATAGAGTGCTTAAAATCTACTGGATCTCTCATCAATTTTCTCTATCGTGACACAATGTTGACAGTTTTATGCTTTTGAAATGTTTAGTTAAATTTTCCAAATGACAAAAACCTATGGAATTTGAAAAATATACCAACCTGACAATGCAAATTTAAAATAGCAATAGCAAACAGCAAAGGCAGATGTAGTAACAGTAGGAAAGTACCATAAATCATTATTGCAATTGCTTTGTATCTGTCGAGGTTAGTGTTAAATTGGAAGTTAGTGATGAATGCTTTTCAGGGTTGTGCTAAAGAATATCATAGGAAATTTTACGAATTTATGTGGAAAGTTATATCTCTCAACAACAGATTGGGAAACCGTTGCAGTAAAACTTTAATTATAAAAGTACCCATGAATAAAAATAGCATTGCTAAATTCACGCTTGGAAACAATTAGCCAGAAGAGATGGATGACCAGGCTGATTGGCCAAAGGTCTTCCTCTCCCTATCTCTCATTCCCTTTTTAAATTATAACTTATGCGCACCTCTATGGTTCGTTTCACAGTGGTGTGTAAATGACGTAACTGTAGAAATAGCATCATGGGAAAGGACACATTCTGCAAAATGTTATGAGTAATAAATTTGAAATGCATGAGAGCAAAAATTGGTAATCATATCTTCCTAAACAATGGTGCAAGAAGTTTGAAATATGAGATTTAAATTTTACTTTTCTTTTTATACACTGTTTTTTTCTTTCGTAATAAGTCTTATATTTTTTCACCATTTAAATTTCGTTTGTAAATAAACCTTCTTCATTCAAAGAACATAATTCATAAAATAACTGATAAATTTATCGCAAATGAATTATTAAATCATTAAGGAAATATTTCATACTGATAACACTGAAATTACCATAGATCAGATGCATTACGTATTACAATTATTCACACATTATACCCTATGCAACATATATATTGAAAGAGCAATAGATTATTACGTTTAAGGTAAAGATATTATTGTCACTTTATTAAATTATAAGAAATTATTCATTTTAATCTTCCGAGAATTGAAAAAAGAAAAAGGAAAGCAAAAAGATGACATGCTTGATATCTACGTAAGCATGCATTTATCATCTTGTATTGCATTTCATTAATTAAACATTTCAGCATGAAGAGCACTCGACTTAAGCTTTATTAAATTGAACTCAATTTGCATTTTGCTCATGGGACCGAATATAAATCAAATCACATGCTTGCATATTTTCAAGCAAAAAATAGCACAGCATTAGCAATTTGTAAATTTCTTCTCCGTTGACAAATGTCATTAAAACGTTTCATCACGTCAGCTATTTCATTCGTTTAACATTCCAGGAAAAAGTCAAAAATTTATCTAAAACATAAGTTTAAATCTCATAAACATAGTATCATCAAAAATATCATTTAACATAGAAACATGCATTCTCAAAATTTCAACTAATATCTAATACAAAACATGCATTCTCAAAATTTCAACTAATATCTAGCTGATTAATACATAAATTAAAAATTCAATGAATAAATCCAATCATATCTTAAAATTGAGTGTAAAATCAGTCACATTGATCAATATATAAGCCCTCAAAAAAAAATTGGCAGCCGAAAAGTGGGAACAATTCGATAAAAATATTATTCTAATTAACAAATATCTCTTTCGTTAATTACCCATCAATATTTATGTAATTTGTTTTAGTCAAAGATTAGAATGAAAACTAAGATTTCATTCAAAAATAAGGCATTATTGTTAATTCTTATCAATATAATGCACATATAATTGAACGTTATCCAAATACACAACAACATCAAATGTCACTACCGTAAACTTATCTGCGCTGAAACAATATATTGCGTTGTTGAATTGCATGCGACAACCATGCGACAAATACCGTAGGCCATGGTGGCATGAGAGGAGTTTGGTGATTGGTATTCGTTCATTGTTTAGTAATTCGATGGTATTTCTATTGAAACTTCAGATAAGACTTAAAAGTAGTTAGATTTAAGAATATTGATTGAACTCTTGAATGACAAGTTTGCTGAAAAGGAAGAATATTTAAGAGGTTGGTGTAACAAATAGCTTTCCTAAGTATTACACTGTTGTCGTCACGTGTACATTATGGATACAGCGAAATGTTACTTTAAAAACAGTTGTAGTAATACAAAATTCGGGATTAAGATGACCTGAGAATCCTAATTGATAAAATAAAATGAATTCTATGTGCTTTTTTTTTTTCCACACAAATGGATTAAAATTTTGTTAATAATTTTCTTTTTACATGAAATTAAGAGACTCTGCATAGTTTAATATTTCAGACATTTTAATCAGAGATATTCAAGTTTTGCATAATAACTTTCGTTTTATAGGTGCGGAATTGAGAAGTTTTAAGTGGGCAAAACTAATTTGTGATTTAAGTAGATTCCTCTATTTTTCCAAGCAAATGAGTGATGTGGAAAGTGATAACAGCGAGGAGATGGCGGAGCAAAATGATGAGGTATACGATGATGAGACATATGAAGAGGTTATTTCAGAAATAAAAAAAATGGTAAGTTTCCTTTTCACTTTCTAATGCTGAGATTCGAACTTTCCGGTCTGGAAGTTCATGATATTTTTCCATAATCTGATATGATTTGAAAGTAGTAAAGCAAAGCACACCATGTGACATCACATACATACATTGCAGGTCGAAATTTCGCCCAAGGATTATGACAATCGTATGAAATTAATTGAGGCTTTGCGTCGAAGTGGTGAGCTTGAAGGAGTTCGAGAACAGCGGGATTACATATCGTCATTGTATACTATGCCTCCTAGTTTTTGGTTGGAATGGATCGAGTTAGTTGTATTTTGAAAAAATAAGAATCAGTTGCATTATACCATAAGTTATTTCGAATACTTTGGAATGTTTAGTCATAAAACATGTTCAGTAGTAGAAATAGTTGTGAAATTTATTTACATCAATGAGTCTAAGTTTGTCAGTTATGTTTCTGCTATTTCTTGACATGATTTCGAAGTAGTATAAGTCGCAAGCTTCCACCTCTATGGAAAAAGTATGAATTTTCACTTCTAACAAATTTCATTTATTATCAAATTTTTTTTGCTTGTAGAGATGAAAAGTCGGCAGAAAGTAGCAAGGATTTGATTAAACGCCTTTTCGAATGTGCAATTCGAGATTTTCACAGTCCCGAAGTTTATCTTGAATATGTTCA